AACAGTTGTTCATTTCACCCTTATTCCAAATAAATGTCTAATTCACACAGGGCTTAATGAAAACAAAAAAGAAAAACAAACATTCACTCAGTCTTGTGGAAGCTTCAGAAATGATGTCACATGCATCAGGTCATTAGGCCACATGCAGATTGGTAAAAATGCTTATAAACATATCACAAAACCATCTGCATTTAGAATCCTACTATTCAGATGAGAGGCTACTATACTGAGAATGAAGTAGCAACACTACAACGATAAAATGTGAAATTCTTACCAACTCATTAGACATAAAGCAAATTCCTGCAAAAGAAAGTAGATTGGTAAAATTGCAACATATACAAGTTATACAGCAAACTAAAGTACGTATGTAGCAAGGGAAAAACTTCCATGATCCCTACACTTCGAAATCAATCCAATAGACAGTAAAATGAAAAAGAACAAACCTATGGCAACAATAACTGACCAATTTCTTCCCCTTTTCTGAGAGAGTGCATAATTGGTAAGAGTTGATTATAGGCAAAACAATGATGGTGAGTTTGTTTGTTGCCACATGTTTGCCCAGTAAAAAACACAGAACTTCAGCCGCTCACCAATAAGATATAGTCTTCAACATCAAGGCCAAACTCTGAAGCATTCATTGCTTGAACCATCAAAAGCAATAACACTAATCATGTGCTTGTAAAGCACACGTTAAGAAAAAGAGAGAGAGAGAGAGAGAGGGAGACATGAGGAATTAGCAGTATATATAGCCTCTCAAAAGTTAATTAAAGTTTAGGAATGCACATATTTAAAGGACAACTTTGAATACCAGATCAGACCCACATGGTGACCAAATAGAAATTTGCTCCATAAAGATTGTTCTAAAACAACACAATCTTCTAAGTAAATAAACAATCAACTTGTTATCTCCAAAGACTCCAAGATGTGAAATTGCAATAAAGCAAGTCCAGCTCTTTTAAATTCTCTCTAAACTCTATTGAGTTTTGTTAAATTGCTTAGAAGCATAAGCTTTTTTCAAGAAAATACACTATTTTTCAGAGATTCGGTATATAGGATGTTAGATTTGCAAACATTTGGTCCTGTGAAAACGTTTTCTGCATTTGCACTCCTTTTTCACTCCACCTTTGTATAACTTTCTGAAGGTACACAGTTATTTACAAGTCCATGACTATGGGCTTATGGTTTCTCCAGGATGGTGGATTTTCTCATTTTTGTTAATATTTTTTATTTCAAAATAATCTCCCATTCTTAATGCATTCAAAGGGAAACCCAACAATTTGTCTTATTAATAACAAGCAATCATAAAATTCTCTGTTCATATTGTAGATTTTAGCTAACTGTATTTTTCTTGGTGCAGGTTATGTGTGAGGATGGCAAGGCTAACACCCAGATTCTTTTTTGTGGACCTCATTTTGCAGCTTCACATAACTACACCAAAGAATACTTGCAGAACTGTCCATCTATCCAGGTTTTTTAATTGATGAAATAATAATAGATAGCAAACAGGACTTCAGAATTGCTTAATCTGATGAACTTTTGTACCTCTTATTTCATAGGTTGATGATCTTCCATTTGCTAATATACCTGATCTTATTGGCAACTATGATATCTATGTGGTGAAAAGCATGCGGCTTAATTCAGATGTTATTGCTCGTGCAACTCGGATGAAGCTCATAATGCAGTATGGTGTTGGCATAGAAGATCATTGTCCATTTGCTTAATCTTTGTGTATTGAACTGTAGAACTAAAATTTCTGACCTCCGAGCACTCTAAGAAGTCCAACTACTTCTATGAATTTAATTCTTTTTCAATCTTTTAATGAAGGTATTGATGTAGCTGCTGCTACAACCATGGAATAAAAGTTGCAAGAATTCCCATTGGGAAAACAGGAAATGCTGCTTCATGTGCTGAAATGGCCATCTATATCATGTTAGGTCTTCTCCACAAGCAAGTAGGTTCTCATACTAATCTACTAACTAATACTTTTATCAATTTACATTTTCATGTATGTTAATAAAGTAGGTTGCTTGCTACAAGTTTCCAGTTTTACATCATAGTTATTGCATTTGCTCAATTCAGATTACATAGATGGTGAAACATAGTAATAGAGGCAACTAATAGCAGACGTGATGATATTTATAAATATATTTATAAATATAGAGGCTTTTGCATTTAAGATCAAACATTAGCACAAAGGTATATGTGTAAGTGTGCAACACAGAGTGTTGGCAAACTTAAGGCAAATGGGTTATGCAAATACTCCACATAAATAATTGCATTGGAAATTAGATCTTGGAAACATCCTCAACTCGGGTAGGAATTTGTGGTTTGGTAATGCAACCATGTCGCCAGGAGAGTGCATAAAATCAGGTTGTTAGGAACGTTACAAACCAAGACAAAATTATGTAATCAGATATTTTGAATATTAAAATTATTTGTATCAGTCAGCGATTCAAATATAGAGCAAGACAAAAGGTACTTTAAATTAAACCCATGTCCTCATAATGACAAAATGACAAAAGAAAAAATGTAGGCATGAAAGATGACTTGTTCATAGAAATGATAAATGTAGAAGAGCTTGGTGAAGAATTGAAGAAGTATGAACATATGTGATCTTAAAACATATAAATACATAAAAAATATAAGTTATTGAACAACTAACCTCTATATCAAGTTTTGGGACTTCTCTCTCAGCATGCACACCTAAAACAAAACCGAAGGATAATAGAAATCAATTAAAAATTGCAAACGAAAATGTTAGCAAAGTTCCCGCAAACACGCCTATGTACCTTATTCATTATATCTGGCAAGAACTTTTGCCCACCAAATCCAAGTTTCACAGTCATAACAAGAAACATTTCAACTGGATTTTCACCTTCAAGCTATGAACCAATGGAATGAAAATATTAATCTATAAGCTAGATGATAATACAATTAATGTGAAGAAGGTTATTTTACACCATCTGCACATGCTACAATAACTTTTGTCCTAAACAAGCTTCCTGGTTTTGCATCTGTTCCCCTGAGAAAACACAACCAAATATCAATTACTTTTGTCCTAAACTCCCATTCTCATATGAAGAATCGATAGATGAAGATATTAGTAGTTTTTATTCAACAAATCTAAAAATTAGTGATTTGTTCTTAGTAATTAAAAAATCCCTAAAGAATAGCTCAAATCCATAGGCCACATCTCACAAAATCGCAGAATCAAGGATAATGATAGAAAAAAAAAGTGCAATCGATACAAACAACTCTGGTAACACTGGTCGTTGAAACAGAAAACTTCTGATCCGATAGGTAGTCCCTTGTTAGCAGATCTACACATAACCAACAACATATAGAAAATTGCTCACATAAACTAAATCCAAAGTCGTATGCATATATATTTCGATCATTTAGAGAATTCAATGCGTAGAAGAAGATCAAATGGGTAATTAGAAATTAGGTTGCCAAAAAAAAACAGATGCCATAGAGAAACCCTAGAAATCGAATAATATGGTAAAGGAAACAAACCTTGGAAAAGTGGATGCTTGTATTCTGGAAAACAACCGCAAGAGACTTTGAAAACCTGATTCAAATTTATACGAGTAGAGGATGCGAAGTATCTCCATCTAAATCGGTTGAGCAGGTGAAATCGGAAGGACGATAAGCACGAAGCAGTTGAAATCGAGAAGGATATGGAAGTGGAATTGAGGATATGGACGTGGAATTGAGGATATGGATCAAAGAGATGAGGGATATGAACGAATACATGGGAGGGATATGGACGTCGAATTGAGGAAGGGATGGATGGCTTTGATAGGTTGTACCTAAAGCAATGAAAGTTGTTTTTAAGAGTTTAAGAGTTTTTAGCCAAATGCATTATAAGATAGTATAGATATAGATTTTTTTTTTATAATTTAATTTAAGTTTAATAATGAAATAATTTAATTTTGGTTTAGTAATATAACATTTTATAAAGATAATAATTAAGTATTCTGTTAGAATTTAATGATTATACTAATTATATTTTAGATTTTTTATATTTAAATGAGATGTTTATCCTGTATTTAATTGTGTTTATCTGCAGTTAGTTACACGAATTCATATACGGAGCTTTAATAAGTTGTACCTACGCACAATTTACTTGTAATCTTGAGTTTT